GTTCCTGTTTCTCCACATCCTCTCCAGCATCTGTTGTCTCCAGATTTTTTTAATCGTGGCCATTCTAACTGGTGTGAGATGGTATCTCAATGTGGTTTTGATTTGCATTTCTCTAATGACCAGTGATGATGAGCATTTTTTCATGTTTGTTGGCCTCGTGTATGTCTTCTTTTGTAAAGTGTCTGTTCATATCTTTTGCCCACTTTTGAATGGGCTTGTTTGTTTTTTTCTTATAAGTCTGTTTTAGTTCTTTGTAAATTCTGGATATCAGCCCTTTGTCAGGTAAACTGCAAAAATTTTTTCCCATTCTGTTCATTGCTGATTCACTCTAAGTACTGTTTCTTTTGCTGTGCAGAAGCTGTGGAGTTTGATTAGGTCCCATTTGTCTATTTTGGCTTTTGTTGCCAATGCTTTTGGTGTTTTAGTCATGAAGTCTTTGCCTATGCCTATGTCCTGAATGGTTTTGCCTAGATTTTCTTCTAGGGTTTTTATGGTGTTAGGTCTGATGTTTAAGTCTTTAATCCATCTGGAGTTAATTTTAGTGTAAGGTGTGAGGAAGGGGTTCAGTTTCTGCCTTCTGCACATGGCTAGCCAGTTTTCCCAACACCATTTATTAAACAGGGAATCCTTTCCCCATTGCTTGTTTTTGTCAGGTTTGTCAAAGATCGGATGGTTGTAGATGTGTTGTGTTGCCTCTGAGGCCTCTGTTCTGTTCCATTGGTCTATATCTCTGTTTTGGTATCAGTACCATGCTGTTTTCATTACTGTAGCCTTGTAATATGGTTTGAAGTCCAGTAGTGTGCTGTCTCCCACTTTGTTCTTTTTGCTTAGAATTGACTTGGCTATGCGGGCTCTCTTTTGATTCCATATGAAGTTTAAGGTGTTTTTTTCCAGTTCTGTGAAGAAGGTCATTGGTAGCTTGATGGCAATAGCGTTGAATCTGTAAATTACTTTGGGCAGTATGGCCATTTTCACAATATTGATTCTTCCTAACCATGAACATGGAATGTTTCTCCATCTGTTTGTGTCCTCTCTTATCTCGTTGAGCAGTGGTTTATAGTTCTCCTTGAAGAGGTCCTTTACGTTCCTTGTTAGTTGTATTCCAGGTATTTTATTCTCTTTGTAGCAATTGTGAATGGCAGTTCGTTCTTGATTTGGCTCTCCTTAAGTCTGTTACTGGTGTATAGGAATGCTTGTGATTTTTGCACATTGATTTTGTATCCTGAGACTTTGCTGAAGTTGCTTATCAGTTTCAGGAGATTTTGGGCTGAGACGATGGGGTCCTCTAGATATACAATCATGTCATCTGCAAATAGAGACAGTTTGACTTCTTTTCCTAACTCAATATGCTTTATTTCTTTTTCTTCCCTGACTGCTCTGGCTAGAACTTCCAGTACTATATTGAATAGGAGTGGTGAGAGAGGGCCTCCTTGTCTAGTGCCAGATTTCAAAGGAAATGCTTCCAGTTTTTGCCCATTCAGTATGATATTGGCTCTTGGTTTGTCGTAAATAGCTTTTATTATTTTGAGATACGTTCCATCAATACCTAGTTTATTGAGGATTTTTAGCACAAAGCGCTGTCGAATTTTGTCAAAGGCCTTCTCTGCATCATTTGAGATAATCATGTGGTTTCGTCTTTGGTTCTGTTTATGTGGTGAATTATATTTATGGACTTGCATATGTTGAACCAGCCTTGCATCCCTGGAATGACGCCTACTTGATCATGGTGGATAAGCGTTTTAATGTGCTGTTGTAGTCAGCTTGCCAGTATTTTATTGAAGATTTTTCCATCTATGTTCATCATGGATATTGGCCTGAAATTTTTTCTTGCTGAGTCTCTGTCGGGGTTTCTGTCTTTCAACTGGTGTCAGAGTTGATAGAAATATACCATTTGGCCCTTATTCCAGAAACACGTACTACTTTATATTGTTAATACTCTTGTTTTTATGCATAGGTCCTGGCAACTAGATTACATCTTTCTTGTGTACTAGACCTCCATCTTTTTTGGGGGGGAGTGCAGGGGGTTTGTGCTTTAATATGCTATATCCAATCAGGGGTAGGTAAGACACCCCTGGTCTATGCTTATTATGAATATTTGCTCATATAACCCCCAGCACCACCATATGATAGGAATACCATTATGCCCATTTACAGATCAAGTGGCTGAGGCCCAAAGTCCCATAGTATGAGGGTTTTCTGTCTCCTAAGCCCATCATCGTAACACCTGGGTGACATGGCTGGCACAAACTGGAAATGTTTTGACTGATTTCAGACAGACACAAGGTTCGCCAGTAGTGCTTTCATTTTTATTATATAGCTGTTAAATCGTTCATTTATTCCACATTTGACTGCCTACTGTGTACCAGCTGCTATCTTAAGTGCTGAGGGTTAGACTTGAAGAAGGGTGGAAAAGATGGGTCACGAACAAATAAACCGATGACAGAATGTCCCATGGTGACACATGCTAGGAAGCAAACTGAAGCATGGTAAGGAAAGAAAGGGTGGCAGGAGATGCAGGGCTGGCCCAAGGGACTCTTCCACGTTCCACAGGTCCTCCCAGGAAGAGCTGGAAGGACAGCGAATTTGGTCCTCAAGCATGAAATGATTTGGGGATGTTACTAGTTTTCTGTGCTGCTGCAGCAAATTACTACAAACTCAAGGGTTTAAAACAATGGAAGTTTATTGTCTCCCAGTTCTAGAGATGAGAAGTCTGAAATTGGTATCAGTGGGCTTGATAGAGGGGTAAGCATCAAGGATCAAGGTGTCACCAGGGCCATACTCTTTCCAGAGGCTCCAGGGGTGAATCTGGTCCTTGCCTCTTCCAGCTCAGAGGGAGGGATAGGGGGCCGCCAGTGCTCCCTGGTTTGTGACTTCCTTGCTCCAGTCTCTGCCTGTTTGGTCACATTGCCTCTTCCTCTTCTGTCTGTGATCAAATGTCCTTCCACCTCCCTCTCATAAGCACTTATTTAATTTTATTTAGAGTTTAGTTTATCACCCAGATAAACCAGGCAAACTGTACCATCTCAAAACCCTACACTTAATCACCTCCACAAACACTTTTAATTTGGAGCCTGGGGTGGCATATAAGATATTATTTACAGGTTCTAGGGATTAGGATGTGGATATCTTTTGGGGGCCATTTTTCAGCCTACCATAGGGAGTTATTTGTGGATTTTATTTTTTTAATGTAAATCTAGTCCCTTTTAACTGACCAGCCATTCTAAACTTCTTAAAAAGCACCAATCTTGTTCACTGTGAGCAAAAGCTTATGAAGCAGCATCCCTGGGAATTCATCCATGATTGAAAGAAGGAAGGAGGGACCACAGGGGAGACTGCAACACAGCCAGTGATGAATGATCTCTCTTTCTAGTGCATGTGTTTCATGGAGACAGAGGGACTGGGGATGCAGATTCTGCTTTGCCTCATTTTTTAAAGGCTGTAGGCCGGGCGCAGTGGCTCATGCCTGTAATCCCAGAACTTTGGGAGACCAAGGCAGGCAAATCACTTGAGGTCAGGAGTTTGAGACCAGCCTGGCCAACATGGCAAAAACCTGTCTCCACTAAAAATACAAAGATTAGCCAGGCACCGTGGTACCCACCTGTAATCCCAGCTACTTGGGAGGCTGAGGCAGGAGAACCGCTTAAATCCGGGAGACGGAGGTTGCAGTGAGCCGAGATTGGGCCACTGCACTCCAGCCGGAGCGACAGAGTAAGACTGTGTCTCGACAAATAATAATAATAAAAAAAATAAAGGCTGTAGATATTAGAAATGAAGAATGATTTAGAGATGCTTCCACAACCACTTTTAGGATGTTCTGAGGAAAGAAGAGGCCAACATGGTCAGTCTTATGAAAAGAAGATTTTGTTCCAAGGGAAATGATCAGGAAAAGCCCAGCATGGGGAGATGGGGAGGGGTCAGGGGACAGTGGGCAGGTGGGAAATGAGTCCATCTTCTGCTAGGAAGCCCAAAGGGGCATGTCTCTCCCTTCCCCTCTCTCTCTCTCTCTCTCTCTCTCTCTCTCTCTCTCTCTCTCTCTTCTTTCTTTCTTTACTTCTTTTCTTTTTTTTTTTTTTTTGACAGAGTCTCACTCTTTGCCCAGGCTGGAGTACAGTGGCACGATCTTGGCTCACTGCAACCTCTACCTCCTGGGTTCAAGCAATTCTGCCTCAGCCTCCTGAGTAGCTGGGATTACAGAAGCATGCCACCACACCCTACTAATTTTTGTATTTTTATTAGAGACGTGGTTTCACCATGTTGGCCAGGATGGTCTCCATCTCCTGAACTTGTGATCTGCCCACCTCAGCCTCCCAAAGTTCTGGGATTACAGGTGTGAGCCACTGTGCCCAGCTGGGGGCATGTCTTTGAGCTGCAAGAGCACAGGGTCCACAACTCACAGCTGAGATTGGCCCAGCAGCAGGAAATGCAACACAGGATCAACTTAGGGTGGTAGAAGCTTGTGCGACGACTCAGGCTATCACACTTCTCAGGGTCTGAATCATGGGACATAATCGATGCGCCATCTTATTCCAGCATCCTTTAACCCTCGAGGAGCAGATGCCCTGGCACGGAGTCCGCTCAAAATCTCCTCCTGCTCCTGCTGCTGCCACACAGCGGGCTGTGCCCTGGCCAGGTGCCTGTGTCCTTTGCAGAAGGTAACAGATTAGAAAACGGCAGAAGGTCTTTGCCTACGTAGCGTCCTTCTACCTTCTGCTCCTCAGCTATCAAATGGGATGAAACACGTAACTCCAGGTTTGGGAGACAGGTCTGACACAGAGGCAGATGTCAGTGAACATCTGAAGACTCTGACCTGCTGATGGAGATGGGGTGTTCCCGATAACCAGCGCCCTCTCTGAACCTTGTGGTAGTCACCCTTCTGCCAAAATGTGTGACTCTATTAATACATTTTGAGTCTCTAGGGGAAAAAAAAAAAAAAAAGGCAAACTTAATTCCTACTAAAATATCACTCACTGTGTTCTCTACCTTTTACACTTTCTTTTCAGGTGGTAACAGAAAGCAATCCAGATGGGGTGCAGGTGCTGTAAAATAATACAAAGGTAAAGCAAGAGAAATATTACTTCTAAGTGGAGGAAGTTGTGATGAGCATGCAGTCACTTTTAGAGACCATGCACGGAAATGCACTGAGTAGTGCATTTATCCAGTTTGAGGCACAGTCAACACTGCCAACACATTAAGAGTTGGAACTGTTATAATACCGTTTAAAAGAACATGTGCCCTAGATTTTGTTAACTTTTTTTTGCTCACTTCTCAAAACATGTTGGGAACACCATCGTTTTCTGAGGCTGAATTTGGTCTGGGCTTCTGCCTGAAATGGCATCACTGAAAATAAATCACCCCAATCACATATGTGCTTTTAATTCTGTCCACATTGCATTTCATAAAATTGTGAGTGACATGAACATGAACTTCTAAGATGAAAGGGAAAAATGTCACTGGTGACTTTGCTTCCTTAACAAATAAACTGCCTTTTTAATTGTAGCTCTATTCTAGACCCGTACATACATAAGCTTTATTCTACTGTAATCAAAATGTTATGTTAGTCCTTATTCAAAAAAAATGTATTATAAGTATCATTCCTGTGACTTCAGGCTTCATATTTATCATTTTAATGATGGCATAATATTCCACCGAGAAGATGTACTCCTTATGGCCCTATTAGTGGACATTTGTTTTACTTATTATTTTTTATTTTAAAATTCTATGAACCACTTTGTATTTTACTTTATGCCCTACCCCTCCTTCCTCCTTTTGGCTCTCTTCTTTCTTAAGATGTATTTCTGGAAGCAGCTTTTTTTTTTTTTTTTTTTTTTTTTTTAAAGATGGTCTCACTCTGTCACCCTGGCTGGCGTTCAGTGGCACGATTTCAGCTCACTGCAGCGTCCACCTCCCAGGTTCAAGTGATTCTCCTACCTCAGCCTCCCAAGTAGCTGGGATTACAGGTACCTGTCGCCACATCCAGCTAATTTTTGTATTTTTAGTGGAGACGGGATTTCACCGTGTTGGTCAGGCTGGTCTCGAACTCCTGACTTTAAGTGATCCACCCACCTTGGCCACCCAAATCGCTGAGATTACAGGCAGGAGCCATCAAACATTTTTATACCAACCGTATCTATTTGATTTAGACACACTTATCTAGGTTGAAAAGAGTAACTAATCACAGAAATTAAATCAGCAGGAATCGTAGAGAGAAGCAAGGTCTGTGGTCGGAAGCATTAATGATGGAGCAGACCTGACTGCTTTTCACTGTCTTCCCTGCAGCTATCTCTTTGATCCAGTTCAAGTGCCCTCTCCTGGCTATGTCAATGAAGTCAACAGCTGCAAGCTGGATGAAGATGACACTGTTAAATTAAAAGGCAAATGGGGCGGTGAAGTCCTGGCACAGAAAAATGACCCTCAGAGACAGGGCTCAAAGAAGACTGATAGCAGCAGCAGGACAGCTGATCTACGGGAGCCCTGCTGGCCTCACCAAGGTCCGCTCCCACAGGGGGACGCTGGAGGGGACCACCATGCCTGCGGTGTCAATGGCGTTGGCCCTGCTGCCACCCCACAGCCCACTGGGAATCCCAGTCCCTCCCAGGATGACAGGGGCTCCTGGGCCAGCACTACAAATACTATTCCCCCAACTCAACCCTTCCCGGAAGGAGGGGGCACTCAGAAACAGGACTGTGTGTTGCTGGCCTCAGAAGAGACCCAGGTCATGACAAACAGAGGCTCCAGAGCTCCTTCTGATGTGGAAAGTTGTGCCTTGGACGTACAAGAAGAGCGTGTCTTCCAGATACCAGCCCCAGATTACCCTCAGCATTGGGGCCCAGCTGGAGGCAACGTTGATCATAGTGAAAAGGACTGTGTTTCCAAGAACCATACTGAGGAGGAGTCCCTAGAGGGAATTCAGCCCACAGTAGGGGAGCATGGTTTGAGTACACCCTTCTCTGTGAGGAGAAGCTGGAACTCATTGAATAAGGATGTGGAAACAGAAGTTCTAAACATCTGCTTTAGTGTGGAGGGTCCCGCTCATGTCATACCTGTGGTTGACTCGGGAAATAGGCAGGAGGATGCGCATGGCTCCAACGGAGATGGGGACAGGGAGATTGTGGACGTGGATGCAGCGGTGGCAGAGGCCCTGGCGGCTTTAGAAGCTGCTACCGCAGGAGAAGATTTGGATGAGGCTGATTAGGGAAGGGGATTTGCGCAGGCGGGTAAGCAGTGTCATGCTGAGCATGTGGATGCATTTGCTCCCCAGAGGCAGAGCAGGTGATCACGCCAGCATCCGCCAGTGCAGCCTTACCAGTTGTTTACATCCGGCATCTGTTCTGATTGCCAGCCTCTGACCCACACTGCTTGTCACGTATCTGGAGGTTCACTCTGTGTAGGTGAGCTGTGGGTCACTGTGCCCATATCCACAGAAAATGCAGAAATGGAACAGCCTGCTTGACAACCCTCAAACGTCTCTGAGCACCTGGTACAGATGTTTATGAGAATACGCTAAGATCTCAACCTTTGATCCCACACAATCACAGAGCATTCCTTTTGATTGTAAATTGTTTCCTTGTTTTTGAGAGCCAAACATTGTACCCAACCCGGAAAAGGTAACTACCCCACTTAAAGTGCCTCCTGTGTCCCCAGAGCATGGCTTAACTAGAGGGACAATCACCAGGGAACTAATAACTAACCAGTTGTTCAACAGTGGGTTAAGCTCAGCAGTTTTCACAGTAGAGCAGAAATCCCCCGGAAACCAAGGGTTAGTCATTAGCTGAGATGTGATTTTAAAACACCTTGACCTTAACTTTTTTACATTATTTCTTTTAAATCTCCTTTGGGATTGGGGAGGCTGGCCAAAAGAAGTCTTAAAACTGCTTGTCTTATATTTGGATTTTAAGTTCATGACTTTCAGAACAGCAAAGCCATATATGGAATGTTTTTATGCCATTCAATGTCTGATTCTAATTAAAATGTAACAACATATGTGTCTTTCTGTCTTAACTCAAAGGTGGTTCTAATTTTCTCAGACTGTCAGTGACCCTGGGTGTTACTTCCAATGGGAAGAGCTAAGCTAAGCATGGTGGCTCACGTCTGTAATCCCAGCACTTTGGAAGGCTGAGGTGAGAGGATTGCCGAGGCCAGGAATTCGAGACCAACCTGGGCAACTTAGTGAGACTTCATCTCTTTAAAAAAAAAAAAAAAAAAAAAAAAAACTAGACTACAAAATTATACAAGGAAGGGGGCTTGGGCTTTCTCTCCCTTGAGTTAAACTTGATGCTGTAACTAAATGTCCTGATCTTAACTTAAAGGCAAACAAGGCCTTTCTCGATTTCAGCCTTCTGATTCCTAGAAACAAGGACAACCATTCTGATACAATTCAATGGAGAATTTCAAGGCATTCAGGATGCTCAAAACTATCTAGAAAATAAAAAGCATGAAAGATGCTTTAGTTTGCTGTTTTGTAACACAGAATTGAAATCCAACTGAATTTCGTTTGATTTCCAGTTTTGCTTTGTGGCCTTGGGCATGTTACGTATCCCTTTTCTTTGCCCACCTGTGAAGTGAGAATGATAATCATATGTGCTTGTAAAGATTAAATGAGATGATGTAAGTGTTTAGCACAGTGCTTGGTACATTAGGCACTCAAAGGTGATGTCTTACTAGTTGAAAACAGTTCCTTTAAGAAAAATTTTTACATCCTTACAACTGAAAACGCTAATACTGGGAAGTGTTTATAATGTCATTTTTGCATTTTGGTAATGATTTGATATAAAACATGATTTCTTGGCCTTCCAGTGCCTTTAAGGATGGCACCCGTACAAATGCTTACTGAACATACGTTACCCGCGGTTTGTTTGGTATTATAATGACAAGCCATCACAACTGACCTCTATATACAGGGTCACTCAGAGCCCTTAATTGGCATTGTTAATTGCATTGGAGGTGTGCCTGCTTTTGTACGTACTACACCAAATACTTAATATTTCAAAATCCTGGTTCCTTCAATAATTTCCTAAGTGTATCAATTGGGATCATGTTCAGTTACATAGGATGAGTGTTTCCTACACGTAGAGGTTTATTTACCTTTTATGTAAAAGAAATCTGCAGGTGGTGATCCAGGGTGTATGCGTGAATGACCCGGTGTCGGTGACCCACGCTGCTTCAATCATTTTGGCCTCCTCACGGTCACTTTGTAGTCCAAAATGGCTGCTGTGGCTTCAGTCATTGCATTTGCATTCTGTGTTGGAAAAAGAATATAGGGCCAAACACCCCACTCCCTCTCTGTTAAGGGCCGCACAGAAGTATAATTCATCCCTTCCACATCTACCTCTTTGGTCAAAATCTGGTCATTTGGCCACATCTAGCTCCAGGACAGACTAGGAAAGGTGTCTTTCTAGTGGTATGCATGGCCTTGCCAAATAAACTCAGGATGCAGTTACTGAGAAGGGGAAATGGACAGTGAGTTTTGAGGTGGTCAGTTTACAGTCTCTGCCACTGCAGGTCTCAAAAGCCTGGGACACAGCTGGTTTGCAAAAGATTGGAAGATTGTACATTCAGTGTGACACCAAAGGGGCCTCTACCTTTGGTCCAGGGAAGGGAGGACTGGACAGCTACCACAACATGCCTTTGATAGCTCCAAACCTGATGAAAGAAGAAAATTCCGACAAGGAACGGGCAGGGGAAGGTAGCGGGGCAGACAAGTCTCTTTCTCTTACCCAGACACACACTTTTGCATTTACATATGTGAATAATTTTACGTTTTAGAACAGCTGCAGAGTTCACCGTAACTGACAGCTCTCTAGTTTTAAAGATTCTTTTTTATGAATAACTGCTTCAAAAAAGTCTACAGAGGGCTCATAATATCAAGACTTCTTTCAAAGTAATTCTGGACCCTTTCATCTTCACTCCAATATCCAGGCTCCCCCAAAGGAAATCAGAGGAAACTAAAAAATCCTTAGGTTGAATAGGAAGTCCAGCTTTTAGCCTGATCTACCGGGTTGTCTAACTGCGAGCTGCCTGAGCACGCTGATGTGCGTAGTGTCTTCTTTCTGCAGCTTAGTGCCACTCTTGTCAGAAAAGTGAGGTTGAAAAAAGCCAAACTTTTCAAACGTTGTGGACACTTTGAAAGCACAGGTGCACTCTGATTGGAAGGCACTAACTGTGATTAGGCGCTGACTTCACAGCTCTCCGTGAACCTTAGGCAATTGCATCAGGTGGATACTTACCATGTTAAATCCCGATTTTGAATTAAGATTATTTTATGTATATGTTACACATAGGTTTCTTGAGCCTAAGAAGTTAGATTTAACTTTTTTTATTTTTTCAGATGGAGTTTCACTCTTGTTGCCCAGGCTGGAGTGCAATGGTGCAATCTCAGCTCACCACAACCTGTGCCTCCCCGGCTCGAGCAATTCTCCTGCCTCAGCCTCCTGAGTAACTGGGATTACAGGCATGCACCACCAAGCCCAGCTAATTTTGTATTTTTAGTAGCAACAGGGTTTCTCCATGTTGGTCAGGCTGGTCTCGAACTCCTGATCTCACGTGATCCACCCACCTCAGCCTCCCAGAGTGCTGAGATTACAGGCGTGAGCCACCGTACCTGGCAGATTACTGGGGAAAACGAACTATCATATAAGTATGAAATTAAATTTTTTTCCTGGTTACCAAAGCAGATGTAGTGAATAGTTATAACTGGAAAAACCAGATACCCAAAAGAATGAAGAGAATTCTGGGTTTCTTACATAGCACATACCTATTTGTCCACGCTCAGTCAGTGCCGGCGTGCGTCATTTTCCTCCCTCTGCCCCGCCCTGTCTCTCTGATTCTCTGCTCTCTTCCTACCTCTCTCATCTGTACCTTCAAGTGGGAGGCCTTAGAAAGAACAAATGAGACACTAAATGCAAGAACAAGAGCAAAGATCTCCTGACTTCCCTGGTCTGGTCATCTGTGTGCAGCCATGCGGCAGGTAGAACACAGTCACGACTGCAACACAGGGTGGAGCCTCCTTTCCTGGACTTGGACTTGACTCCATCAAGGGCACTCCTTTTCACACAGCCAGTCTTTATGATGAAAATGTAGAAATTGTTGCTTTCTCATTTTGTTTCATTTTCTTCCCTCTAAACCTCATGCATTTTTAAATCCTCTGTTTTGGAGTTGGTGACAAACACAGACAAGCTGACATCTGTTTTTCATGGTAAATGCTTTCCCTGTTAAGTAATAGAACAGTAAGTAGTTCATTTATCTATTTCCTAAATTTCTAAGTTACTCGTCTCAGGTTACAGAAACCACACCTAAGTGGTCTGCTGACTTCCAAAGCACTCCCAGCCACTTTAAGAAACATTTTATGCAAGTCAACATGTTGGTCGTAGATGATGCTTACCTGTAGATTTAGTCACTTGGAGTCCACTATTAGCAATTTTTTTCAAGTGAAATGACTATACTAAGTGAATGCCTTTGGCCTGAGACCTAAGATAGGGTACGGCCCAAAGGCAGGGCTCAATACATTTTTGTTGACTGAAATAATAAAATCTTTTCCCAGTCTGGTTGGGGGAACATCATGCAGCGGGCCAGGATTTCTGAATGCTAATTATGGATTGTGACAGAAAGGATGTGGGAGCACAAATCCATGGGAATTTGAGACATTAGGAATTGTCTTCGTTATTCAGGCCCTTCACTCTCAGTCTATGCTGCTGTATTTGAATAATGAGGCTTGTATGGTGGTGTACGGAAAAGTGGACAGAGCCAAATTTGGACAGCTGCTAAAGGTTTGATCTCCAGAATGAATCCACATTACCCTGTGGACAGTAATCCCAAACTGAGACAAAAAGTTTAAGAAAACCAGTGTCTGGGGCCAAGCAACAGGGAGCTTGGCTGACCTCATTTTTCAATCATTTTGAACTCAATCTCTAAAATCCTGGAGGAGAGGCTGGGCACAGTGGCTCACGCCTGTAATCCCAGCACTTTGGGAGGTTGAGGCTGGTAGATCATCTGAGGTCAGAAGCTCCAGACCAGCCTGGCCAGCATGGAGAAACCCTGTCTCTACTAAAATTACAAAAATTAGCTGGGCATGATGGCAGGTGCCTGTTATCCCAGCAACTAGGGAGGCTGAGGCGGGAGAATCACTTGAACCCAGGAGGTGGAGGTTACAATGAGCTGAGATCGTGCCTTTGCACTCTAGCCTGGGCAACAGTGCAAGACTCCATCTCAAAAAATAAAATATCCTGGAGGAGAAGAAAAAAAGGATGTATATTTGTGTAATAACACCGAGATCTCATTGTTCTCTTGGCTCCTAGTGATGAGGAAAAAAAATGTGAATCCAGGATTGACTCTTCAGAAACACCTGCAGCCAGGCATCGTGACCTCCAGGTCTTCAGAGGCCCTGCCCACATGGCATGTGCCTGGTAGTTTCCACACAGGTGCCTCTTGAATCCTAATAAACCTGGGGTGAAATCTGGCTGTGCCTCATGTTCGCTATGTGACCTTGAGTTTAAGTTTCTTAACATTTCTGAGCCTCACTTTTCTCATCTGTGAAATGGGGATTATTCCTATATCTAAGAGTTGAAAGCACACATTCTCAAATTTCAGTGTGCCCCTGAGGCATGTGGCGTGCTTGTTGAAAAGGCAGGTTTCTGGACCTACCTCTATGGGATTCAGACTTATTAGGTCTTGAGTGGAGCCCTGGCATCTACATCGTTGGTGTGAGTAATTCTCTGCACTAAGAGAAACACTTAAGACTAACAGGGATTGCCACACCTTTATTTTTATCTTGCACCAGTTATCAATAAAAAATACTGCACACACCCTTAACATAAGCACTTTTACAAACATACTATTTTCTACTAATATATGCCTTATAGTATTTAGCAATACTAAGATGAGGTAACAATTACATATCAGTTAGAGCATTAATATTTTTTTCACACCACTGGGGTATGTGAAGCCTACTTTGGAAACCTTGTTTAGAAGATCAAATGAACTGG